CTGATTTGCTGCTCAAGAAACATTTCTGATTATTATCAATGTTGAAAACAGTCGTGCTGCACAATATTTTTGTGGAAACTCTGATACATTTCCATTCAAAAGTTTGGGGGTATGATTTTTTAAAAACAACAACAACAACAACAAAATAACACTTTTATTCATCAGGGATGCATTAAACTGATCAAAAGTGACAGTAAAGACATTTATAATGTTACAAAACATTTCTGTTTCAAATAAATGCTGTTCTTTTGAACTTTCTGTTCATCTGTGAATCCTGAAAAATAAAATGTATCAGTTTCCACAGAAATATTGTGCAGCACAACTGTTTTCAACATTGATAATAATCAGAAATGTTTCTCGAGCAGCATATTAGAATGATTTCTGAAGATCATGTGACACTGAAGACTGGAGTAATGATGCTGAAAATACAGCTGCGCATCACAGAAATAAATTACAGTTTAACAGATATTCACATAGAAAACAGCCAATTTAAATTTTTTATAAAATTTCACAATATTTACTGTTTTATTTTAATAAAAAAATTCAGCCTTGCATATGACTTTTTTTTTAAATCAAAAACATTATAAAATGTTAATTATTCCAACTTTTGATCTTCTTTAACTATGGAATTAATTTTGTGCCATTAAAAATTAATGTAATTTTTCAACTTATGAAAATATAATAATTCCATAAAGAAACACCATGGAAAGCATCGATTTAAAAGTAGTGCTGTTGCCAGGAATAGCCATTAGGTGGCAGTGTGTTCCCACATGCATAGACCAGCGCTGTATAGAAGCAGTACATAAATCACTGAATAAACATTTTTTCTGCTGCTTAATGAAAACATCTGTGCATTTAATAAATATTGCATCGAATCCACTTCATCAGTTGTCCGACTTTGGTGCTCCGTTTCCAGCTCCTCCACCGACTGCAAGCGGCAAATCTCGCCGATCGGTAACATCCAGCCGCAGTCGCACGCAATATTTGTCAAGCATGGGGGAAACAAATGGAACAATAAAAATCCTCAGAAATGTTCACTTTGATTAATTTGCTCAAGCATGTCGCCAAATGACGTGTAACTTTAATTTGTCTATGCCAAAAAAATGTTAGACAATCATTTTTATATAATTAAAAATACTAAAATTGGACTGGAGAATGACAGCTAACCAGCCGCGACGCTTATTTTCATATTGCTGCGGCGTTGCGGGTAGCTCCGCCCACCCCGAAAGCGTATTGGACACAATGTGACGCTACTCATGAATATTTGATCAGTAACCACGGACGAGGAGAGACCGATGCGGTCAGGTAGAAAACGTCGGATATTATATGACAATTCTCTCAAATTCCACAATGACAGCCGTTAAGAACTCAGGCCTGCTGTCTATGAGATAAGCGTCACGGTAATCGTGAAGTCCTGAAAATACCGTTCAGGTATTTACCGTTCTTTGGTTTTACGCGCTTCACGCATTGTGTCGCGTCGCGCTCCGTTTCGCGTTCAGCGCAGTTTATTAAGCTGCGCGGAGATGCAAACATAAACACTTCTGTGAATATCAAATATCCCAGGAATCTGTTGCCTGGATGCAAATAAAACACTCATGAGCGCAGATTAAATAGCAAACAATGCGATGCCGAGAGATTCAATTGTTCTCCTGTCAGATTCAAGCATAACAGTAGTTCATTGAGCAACTTTAACTGTAGTTTCTCATGCAACCTCTGTTTGAGTCAGCCCTTTGCTTGAATTCGTATTTTTGCACCTGTTTTTAATTGATTTTTCTTACCCTTTTTTTTTTTTGCGTGATAGCAACCCAAACAGCAGATTCTGTGTAGTTTTACCACATCATGTCAAAGGCAGAATGTTTATGTGCTTTAGGTTTCATCTTCATTTTTACACTTGAGATGGTATCTCGTGATTCAGGCTTTGTGAAATGACCTGTCATTATATAAGCAGCGCTACACCCTCTAATTACTGGATGTAGATATATGTGGCCTGACTGACAGAGTAATGATGCAGTACAGTAACACGGCGCTGTAGCATATAAACACAGCGTGCAACACATCATTATATAGAGCTGTGGGCCTGCGAGCCTCTCGTGATTCAGAGCGAGTGGAAGTGTGGATGTGTGTGAATGGAGGTTTGTTTCAGGGGTCACAGTGTGCTGGATGATGACAGGACCACCGGAGCGCTGATCACACACAACTCACACAACTCACACACACACACACACACACACTCACACTCACACACACACACACACACACACACACCAAACACACACAATTCAATTTCAATGTAGGCTGCTTCATTATAATACGATTTCCAGTCACCTTTTATTTTTATTTTATTTTAATTGATGCAATATGCAATGTATATGAATAGGTTATAAGATATGAATATTCCATCAATGTGCACAACTGTATTTGTATATGCAATATAGACTATAAGATATGAATATTCCATCGATACACATAATTTTAATTGTGTTTTGATGCAATATTAGTATAATAGATTAATATATTGTTCTTATGACAAGAATGATTAATAAATATACACAATTTTATTTGTGTATGCAATATATTAATATAAAGGCTATAAGATATGAATTAACATGCACTATTCTAATTATTTTTACTGATGCCAAATTAGTATATAATATATCAAAATATAGGTAAAATATATTAATATTCCATCAATATGCATAATTTTAATTGTGTATATTGAGGCAATATTAATAAATAATATATTAACATAGGCTAAAAAAATATGAATATTCCATCAATATAGATCATTTTAATTTTGTTTATTGATGCAATATTACTATATATTAATATATAGCCTATGAGATAAGAATATTCCACACAATTTTAATTGTGTATATTGATGCAATCTTAATACTATATTAAACCTACATAGGCTGTAAGATATGAATCATCCATTTATATGCACAATTATAATTATGTATATTGATGCAATATTAGTATATAGTGTGTTATGATACATAGGTTATACTATATGAATATTCCAACACAGTTTTAATTGTGTATATTAATATATATTAATACATAATAATATATAGGATATAAGATATGAATATGCCATTAATATGCACAATTATATGTATGTATATTGATGAAAAAAAAAAAAAAATAGGGGGAAAAAAAGATTAGAGAGGACAATAAATACTAGGATGAAAGGTGCTTGTCGGGTGCTTATATAGTTGCTGACAGAACTAGCGGTGTGAGTTTCTCTGAGTGTGTCCTGAGTGACTCCACGTGAAGTAAACACACACAGTGTGATGGAGCTGCTGAAGATGCGCGTCTGAAACAAAAGCTCTGAGGCTCCTCCCTGCATGTGTGTGTGTGTGTGTGTGTGTGTGTGAGCTCAGCTCAGTAAAGCTTCATCTCTAATAGGATGAGCAGCCGCTCGCTCGTGTAGCTGAATGCGCCGCTCATTGTTCGCTTCGCCGTTCCTCTGCCGTTTCCGCGGATCGATCGGTCAGTGATCGGGATTTCTCATGGATCTATCGATGTGAAGACGCTGTCAAACGCGGTACGTAGCCTACATGAGAATAGAGATTGAAGTTGCTTTTCCATGCGATCGCGCGCACGCTGTTTATGATGAAGATGATGATGATGTTTAGAACGATATATTGTTTCTTTCTGTCGCGCGTTACTTTGATCTCAGGCGCCGAGGGCTGGTGACGTCACTCCGCTAAACTTCTCTAATGCGCGCTTATAAAGTCATTCATCAGCTGAATGCGAGTGTTGAATATGAGGGTGTGACGGAGAGCAAACAACATCTCCGTGCTTTACTGATTTCAATAATTGCACTCATCAGTAATAAGCGGCTGAGATGGAGATACGTGTCATCGCAACGGAATAAATGTGTGGTTGTTGTAGTTTTGCGTGAAGCGCAGGACTGTAGTTAGTCTGATGAAAATGATGCGGTTCAGTCATTTGAAGTTATGATTGAGTATTACTGTATGTCTCTCCAGCTCTGTGTGTCACAGTAACAGGTTTAAGTCTCAGTTATATAATTAGACTGTGTTCACTGATACCGAAGAAGGTCAGTATGAAACCTCATCCGGGGGTCTGTGAGGCCGGCCGCTCTCCTGTGACCCTGAGGTCGAGCAGGGTGTGTCCGTGTCAGCGCTCTGCCCGTTTCTACCACTTTACTCCCAAATGAACGCAATCCGACAGACTTCTTGAGCTGCGAGTGTCTGGCCGTAACAATGAAACAGCATCTGTTTGGGCAGGACGGCAGCGTTTAGTCCGTCTCAGCGGTGAGCGCTTGGGTCTGGAGGCTCAGAATAAAATAGTGTGTTTATTACTGTGAAGCTGCTTTGACCCAAACTGTACTTTAGAAATAAAATAAAAAATTAGTTTAAGGTCAAGTTTGTGAGCAGAAGTAAAGAAATCTAATGTTTTTGATTGAATATCATCATTGTGCTCAGTGATCAGCAAACTAAAATCTGAACTCTTCCTTCAGTCGTGCTGTTTGGAAGGAAGTGTTTGGAGCGGGAAGTGTTTGTCCTGTAAACACGAGTCTGATGACGACAAACTTCAGCTGGTGTCCGAATGATGAGCTGAATAATCACACACTGATGCTGACAGTGTGTGTGTGTGTGTGTGTGTGTGTTTTCTCACAGGTTCTGGGAGTTTGTGTTGTCATTGTGATGAGTGTGTGTGTGTGTGTGTTTGTGTGTGGTTTCCAGCGGCGTGAGAGAGAGAGAGAGAGAGGGACAGTGCATGTGTCTCGTCCCCAGGCCGGCGTTTGGCACTGCCTCTCTCATCTATTAATCATGGCGACTGCTTTCTTATTCTGTTGCCATAGTTTCAGGCTGAAACACTGTTGGTGTGTGTGTGTGTGTGTGTGTGTGTGTGTGAGGGGCCATGGGACGTTACAGACCAGCAGAGCTGCTTAAAGGGGCCACGCTGGACAATCATGTACAGACACAGACTGATAGTCTGATTGTTGCTCGTCACGCTCGTCCTGCATTTTAAGAATAAAAAAAAAAACACTGAGAAGGTACTGGTATTTTCCTGCCAGAACATTATCTGTTAAGTTTACAGACATTTCCTTAACCCTGTATTATGTTGTGGGTCAAACTGAGTTGTAGGAATTACTGGTTAACCGAGGATATTTTCTGTGACATTTTCTTTTTAGATTTACTATTTAGAAATAGTTCATGTTTTTTGAAAAAGAAAAGTAAAAAAAAAAAAAATTATCATACATTCTGGGTTTTTTGGTAAACATAAATTTCGTATGCAGAATTATTTGAACATAATACAAGAGTTAACCCTAAAACTAACACAATGCACAATTTAATCATATTAACGGTATGGTTATAGGATCATTTTAATCTCTGAACAAACATGTTTATGCTGCTGTACTCTGGATTCTGTAACGGCTGTCAAGCTCAGGCTCTACTTGTTTTAAAGGAATAGTTCACCTAAAATTATCATTCTGTCATCATTTACTCTCCCTCATGTCGTTCCAAACCTGTACGACTTTCTTTCTTGAGTGGAACACAGAAGTAAATATTTTGAAGAGCCTTGGAAACCAAACATTGACTTTCATTATGTGGAAAAAACACTGAGACATTCTTCAAAATATCTTCTGTTGTGCAGTCATACAGGTTTGGATCAACATGAGGGCGAGTACATGAAGATTTGAGCGCTGCCCGTAGATCCTCACCTCGCTGTGGTTGTTTTTAGGGAGTCAGACGCTTTAATCATGAGATATTCTCAACTCTCTGAATGGAGACGCTTGTCATCCCGCTGTGATTTACTGACCTGAGCTTCTGAACTACAAACACATGAAACGCTCTGAAGCGAGTCTGCGTCTTTGAACTTCATGAGATCATCTCTGAGGAGCAGGAGGAGAATTAACACAATGTTCGTTCAAAGTTATCTGCTCTGTTAACTTTGTTAGTAATGTTCATTCAAAAACATAATTTATACATCATTCATGGAACATTTTTCTCACGTATTTCAGTTGGATGTTTGTCTAAGATGGTTTAGAGAACATTCAAAAGTAGCGTTCCAGTAATGTTTCAACATAATAAAATGGAACGTTCCGCTAATGTTGACTTTAACATTCACATAACCAAAGAAAAATGTTTTTTAAAACATTTAGAAAACTGGACATTCAAGAGAACATTCAGAAATAATGTTAATGAAACGTTAGCAAAATATTCTTAGAACATATTTTTTGGGTGGCGTTATCTGGTCTTTAATAATGTTCTCAAAACATTAAAACATTATTTATACACTGTTCATGGAATGTTTTTTTGGTAATGTTGAGTTGGATGTTTG